CCCCAAAACCCCAAAACCCCAAAACCCCTTGCATTAAAGTAAAATTTGAATTTTTATTTGGTTCAAGATTTCAGCAGAGATTAATAATGCTAACACTCAAATAGGACAGACTTACTCTCAGCTTATGCGAAATTTTAAAAGAAAACAAATTTGCAGAGAGCATGTCATGCAACAGCAGGTTGAACAATTGCAGAAGGAGAGCATGAACTCCTTTCACTGTGTATAGATAACCTTTTCGCTGCCTGATGAATGATAATGGTGTCCCTCTGATTATAAAGATGGTGGACCAAATTAATCATTGATGAAACTAATCAAGCTTGATCCCAGTTTCACAATCTTGAATGTATCCCATTTATTATTATCACAGCCACGAACAGATGTGTTAGGCTATTGGACTCTTTCACAAAGCTACTGACTCGGATGAGAAGACTCAAGCTGCAAAGTATCTGAATTACAAAAGGAAAACTGTTTCAGAGGATTGTCACCACTCATTTCAGGCAAGACATTGACTGATCATTGAGTTCAGTCAAAAGGTAGGCTTCTCTAGAGATTTATTCATGGATCTTTGGTCAAGCTATTTCTAGCAGACACTCACGATTAATTGGATACTTTTTGGAAACAGAAAATTTTATAGTCTTAAAATTAATCCCAATTTTCAGAATTTTTTTAGTTTTGTACCAGAAATTTGCTAGAACTCGAGTTGATGGTCACGAATTTGGTACGAAGCAAGTTTTCACAGTATAAGTAAATCAAAATTTTGACTTTTCATACAACACCAACACTTTTCAATGATCCTCATGGCTTGAGATAAAACGTATATTTTAGGCTTCAAGCGTTGACTAATCTATGTGGAATTTTGACTACTATGACAATATAGTAGACTTAAAAGATGTTCGGCTGTTGTTAAAGTCTCTCAAATTACAACATTGCTCAGCCATCCAGGCTGAACAAGACAATGAGTGTCTGGTTGGCTGGTCCAGAATGTGGCTAAATCTAGGTTGAACACTTGCTTGAAGACAGTGAATATTCAGACTGAAAAGGCAATAGTAAAAGAAATCTAGTTGTTTACAAGAAGAAATATAAATGAGAAATATCATTACGGGCTCACCTAAAATAATTGGAGTCACGAATAACTTCAGATAATTATATTGACTCCATAGCGGTGTCATAAGAGTAGAATTAAAATTCAGTGTTTTAGAGATGCAGTGGACGCCTACCTTTACATAAAAGACTGAGGAATACACTTTATCTCAACGATGAGGTGATGCAGGAGATACACTGGATTTTCTAGCCTTTGATGTAAGCTTTTACTCGATGTATATCTGCCAAAGTTAAAGTTACATGCTACTCTTGTGGTAACTTCATGGCGTAATTATAATCAAATGACAATATGTTATTGCCTCAATATTTCAGGTGTATCTCGGGGTTTTGGGGTTTTGGGGTTTTGGGG